CCAAGGAAGACTGCAGAAGAAGGCAACAGCTAACTACTTCTGCTTCTTACTTACCCTGAAAGACCCTTGCTGGGATCACCATAAATTGGTTGCGACTTGATGGTACTTTAAACACACACACAAAGATGCACAAAATCCAGTAAGAACAATGGATACAAGATCTATCTGGCAGAATGGCTATCCATCCAAGCAACCAACAACTGCAGACACTGAAACATGCATTACCTTGCTCGGTGACTTTATGAAATGGTTGGGGCCTCCAATTCAAGCAAAACAGGGAAGACGTGTATCACCGAAACCACAGCAACAATGATTTCTCTTGTCTTACCTTCTATTTCAGCTCATGCTGGAATAAAAATTGTCATTAAGGTGCCACTGGAACCCTATTGTTCTTTATCTATTAATCCCTTACTGAGTCTAAATACTTGCTTGCCTATGTAGTTCCATTTTGTTTGTTTTTGGAACCATCAAGCTCCGAGCACACTGAGCTCTTTGCTCAAAAACCTGCTCACTTTTTGTCAAATGGATTTTTCTGAAATGGTTTTTTTGGTTCGCCTAGCCCTTCAAGTTGGGATTAGTGGATTAGTACAAGTGGAATACGGTGTTCAGTTCTGGCCATCTCATTACCGGAAAGATTGCAACAAATTGGAAGGAGCTTGAAGAACAGCAGCAAAAATAGTTAAGAATGCTGAGCGATTGACTTGAGAAGGAAGATTACAAAAAGTGAAACGTATAGCTTAGCTGTGACATAACTGATGAAAGATTAGGATAACTGTCTGCAAATAACAGATGGGGGGAACCATACTACAGAGTGTTATTTCCAGCAAAATTAGGAATAATGAGATTAAAATTAAGAGAAAGTCAAACTGAACTCAATGAGAGAAACTCCTTTTTGGCACCACAAAAATCCTACAAGAAATTTTTTACAGTTAGGCAAATAATCTGTTTTCTTTACTTTTGTCAGTTATTGCCTGTATCTCTACTTGCAAAGGCAGCATTACAGCACATTATGGTTACAGAGAGACAACTGAGGTATCAAAAGAAAAACAAGGAAATGTTAATTTGCAAAAACAGTGGCTTTCCCAATTTGCCATTCGCCTCCCTCACCCATCCAGATAAACTTAAAAAATAAAAAAAATTGAAGTCAAACAGGCTGCAATCTCTGAAACCCCCATAGCTATTATCAGTAGAACTTTGGCTCTAGTATATTGAAAGGAGCTCCCCCCACACTTGCTGAGGTGTTATGCAAAGTTTATGACCATTGCACCTGCTCAGAGCTGAAGAACACTGCCAGCTCTTAGGGCCTAGAGACAGATAGAGTTGTGTGTGGTTGATGGGAAAGGCTGCGACTGAAAAGGAAGCAGGACACACTATCCAAGTGCTGGTCTGATGTAGAACTGGTTGTTTATGAAAGTTGTTCATGTATGAGAGTATATGAATGGTTATTCAACTAGTCTATGTGCACATGTACATGTGGTGTACATGGGTCTATGTGGGAATGGGACACTATGAATGATGGTGAACAGAGCAAAGGCACAAAAGCCACTGCACATATAGACAAACCCCACAAAAATGTGTGTCTCAATTTATCATCGTATCATATATTCTAATAGCAAAGTTAACCAAATCTGAGGATACTTAAATCTGGTGATTATAAACACACATACACATTGGAGCAATACTCTGTCTATGCTGTGAAGTCTTGTGAGCAAAAATTCTACTTTGAGAGCTACTGGCATGAAAGTTGTGAGCGAGCTATTTGGCTGTTACAAAATTAGTTTGCTCTGGAGCCCTCCTTCCTGAGCTAAGACAAAAATGTGTGAGCCAGAGGCTAAAAAACTGTGAGATAGCTCACACTAACTCAGCAGAGAGGGAACACTGCATGGGGGGGGGTTAAAATAACAAAATGAGGAGGTTGCTAGGCAACCACAGCATTCTAGGCTTGATTTCTGTCAGTAAAAGGCAGGGGGAGGGGTCCTTTCCATGGCTGTTTTAGTCTTTGAAGGAAGACTCATTGGGCCAGGTCGGGCAGCAACCAGTGAGTGACTTCGTATCACCCAACTCACCTAGGCCTGGCTCCTTGCTACTGTTCAACAGCAGTCATCCTATTAAAGTCAGTGTGGTGTAGTGGTTAGAGTTTCAGAGTAGGGTCTGGGATACCCAGGTTCAAATCACTGGAAATCACTGGGATACCCAGGTTCAAAGCCTACCATGGAAGCTCACTAGGCGATATTGTGCAAGTCACCTACTTTCAGCCTGACCTACCTCACAGGGTTGTTGTAAGGATAAAAGGAGAAGAGAATAATGTAAGCTGCTTTGGTCCCCAATGTGGAAAAAGGTGGGGTAGAAATGAAGTAAATGAATAGTAAATATAGCTGAAGATGGGAAGCAGATATTAGGTAGGTTGGTGAATGGCTGAGAAGAAGAAAATGAGGCAGGAAAAGGGGAGAGGATATGGGGGTTGTGACGAGAGAGAGAGGCTCAGAGAGAGAGAGAGAGAGACACAGAGGGTTCCCTACCTTGCAAGTGGGCCTGGCCCAGCAGCTGTCACCATACAACTGGGCGATTGTTTTCCTAGGTAGAGGCTTCTGCTGGGGAGGGAAAGCTGAACACAGAAGGGCAGATAAAGGTAGGTTGGCAGCTGGGTGGGAAGGAAAAAAGGAAACAGGAAAAGGGGAGAGACTCTGGGGACTTTCAGGGAAGGGAAAGAATGGGGGAGAAGAAATGATATGCCTCCCACAAGTCCTTGTGGGTTCCCAGTTGTTATGATAACAAAACTCTTGAGATTTTATACCAAAAGGGGGGGAAATTACTTCTGATTTGAAATTCAAGTGTTTGATAGAATTAAAATGAGGAGAAACCCTATATTTCTAAAATCTGTCTGAGGGGACCATCACAAACAAGCATGAGTGACTAAGTCATCTTAATGCCTTTTTTCTTTAATAAGGCAAACCAAACAAAGCATGAAATGTGAGGTCATCACATCATTTCTAGGTTCCAAGACAAAACATGCTGCTGCTGCTGCTGTTTTGCCTCCAAAACCACTGAATGGAATTATTATCTTGTAATTCATAACTCTTATACCTTCCAGGGGAAAATCTCTGTCAGAGAAATTAGGCCTTACACTTAAGTAGAGCCAGCATCTCCTGTATGTCTCCCTAGTTCTGTGTACTGTGACAAAAGCTAGGAAATGTAAAAGGAAGGGCTACATAGTTGGCTAAGTCTTTGTACACATGATTGAGAACTCAATGGCTTTTAGACTTGAAACAACATTAAAGCTAAACAGTGATGCAGATTAATAAAAGATAGTGTGTATGGTAGGCAATAAAATAATAAAAGAGGAACATGTTTGTACTGTGTGGATTGGAGTAGTCTTTTTATTTCTGCTCAGTACAGCAATTTTAAGACTCAGTCTTGAATCCATATTCATCAATATATCTTCTCAGTGCTGATGTAAATGAGGCTAAGACCTTGATTTGGAGGAAAGGATTCCTTATCTCAGATTTGCGCCACTGACACCTATGAAACTGGAAACAATCAGGTTTTCAGAGCCCCTCTCCCATTCACTAAGCGGCTCCCCTTCTGGTCAGTCTTTTCCCTTGTCCACGTCAGTCGTTTCTTACATTTTGCTAGCCAGGACAACGTCATGAGAACATTACTAAGCTAAAGTAGCATCTTAGCATGCTCTTTTAAAGTCAGGAATATTAAATATGGGAGGATTGTATAGGGCCAGAATTTCCATTCCATTTTCAACTATGAGTCACAGAATATGCAACTATGTTTATGTACCTGGCATCAGTACCACCCTGTAACTTCTTGTACACAGAATCCATGCTGTGGTGCAACAGACTCATGCGATGGTCAGTGTACGAGTCTGCACAGCAGACACACAGTATCAGTGCTTACCTTGTCACAGGTGGAGTATCATACCAACAATATCTCACTAAGGAGGTACATGGTATCCTATGAGCTTATTTCCCCACCTTGTATTCTGTCGATCTTGACTCATCCATGTAGCACTGCATGCATGACTCTCATTTAAATGGGGCCACTTTGACTGCTCATGCAGTGTTAGCATGGCAAGGATCCCTCGCCTAGGCAGGCATTATGATGCTGTGCCAACACCATCGGTGTAGCAGCTGAAGTAAAATGCCAGACATGTTTTAACCCTACACAGTAAAACTGCTCTTGTTGACATCACATCTTTTCAGAGCCCTCTTAATTATGCTGCACATGGCAAGAAGATCCATAACATCACGGTCATGTTACAGGAAAAGCAGGAAACAGTCTGTGCTAAAGAAGAATCTTCTCCACTGCTAAGTGTCCTATCCTTGCATCTTGTTGCTCCTCTCAGTGTGTAAGGAAAGAACGGTACGAAGCATGGTTATCTGTGTACACGCATGAACAACAGATCCTTGCATAAAGCAGCAAAAAAAAACCACCCACAAAAAACCACCCAAAACCAGAAATGGACTAATGGATTGAAAAGTACTTCTCACCGAACCCTTTAATATCAAAATCCACTAAAAGTATCAGTGATGACAGAAATTTGTTAATCGTGTTTTTGCCCTATAGGAGTTCCAACAATAGCAATCTATCACATTTTTATCCCATCTCCTCCCCCCTCTTCCATTTTATTCCACCATCCCTGCAACGGGTCATGCTCAGAGGCAGTAGCTAGCCCAGGGTCATCAAGTGAGCGTCACAGTTGAGTGGGGATGTGAACCTGTGTCCAACACTCTAATGACTGTGCCACCAACGAGCTAAAAAACGGCTCATCCAATTGGTCAAATCATGTGAGCAGCTCAATGAGGGAACACGAATTCACACAATGTTTCTTTTCACAAACAAAGTAGCTGTGGTCTTGCATCAGTTTGTGGCTCTCATGATTCATAATTACCTGAGTATACTGCTAGCAAAAGCATTCCCCCCACCATCGACATTGGCTGTTGGGAATATTGCTGGACTCAATTCACACAAAGTTCAAACAGAAATCTTACCTCGTGTGGTTCCACACCCATTTCTCTTAATGCTGACTGGAAAAACATTTTGGCTGGCTTCCCCACCACTTCAGCTTGAATGTCACAGGCATACTAGAAGACAGGACAAAACTGATTTTGCAGTAAGGAAAAAAGAGTGTCCAACTGATTTACATAAAGCTCATTGAAAAGTATGGAATTGTTGACAGGTCAAAAAAATGAAGGTGGTGCCCTGACCTGGATAGCCCAGGCAAGCCCTATCTCATCAGATCTCAGAAGCTAAGCAGGGCCGACCCTGGCAAGTACTTGGAAGGGCAACCTCCAAGGAATACCAGGGCCAGGACGCAGAACACGGTAATGTCAAGCCACTTCTCTGAAACGTCCTAGCCCCACTAGGGGTCGCCAGAAGTCACCATGATTTCCAGGTTCACAAACACACACACACAGAGAAAATACTCACAAAAAAGAAGAAGAAGAAGAAGGTGGTAGGTACACAGTAGGGACACTGATTGCAGAAATACTGAAAACCCACCTGCAGTTGTTCATGGAACATTATGTGTGTCACTGCCCTCACAAAGGAATTCTCTTGAAATCCCAAGAGGGATTTACTAGAGGGATATTTTTGCTGTTCCCTAATACATGCCAGTAAGATACCCCAGATCTGGGTGGGAAGGCAGAGTAACTATGCAGGGAATAATGGGGAAACATGTTAGTCCTTTTCACATGTTCTGAAGAGAACATGCTACATGCAATTCTCTTGATATACATGATACATGTAATGGTTCTGGGTTATGTGAGTAATTATTTTTCCAATACATTGGCCCCGGTCACACGGCAAAGCTGCCGCGGGAGAGGTACGGATGGTGGGCGGATTATCCGGGCGCGATCACACCCCAACATCTGGGAAGTGGAGCGCACCTGTGGCTTACCGCCGACAATGTGTGGGGAGGGGAAGGGAAAGGAGTTTGTAAGCCACTCTGAGACACCTTTGGGTAGTGAAGGGCGGGGTATAAATCCAATGTCATCGTCTTCTTCTTTATTTGCACCTGATATGCTGCACCATCAGAAGCCAAGTGAGTGGTGGTATTCATGTGTCACGCATACCAAACCAAAGACCAATGCATTCCTTCTCATATTCTATATGCCTCCTCTTGAATTAAGATAGAACAGATGAATGGAAAAGCCCCGGGGGGGAGAGGAAGAATTCTGAGAAAAAAATGTTTTGTCCGTTTTCTTCCCTGCCAAGGATATTTTCTCCCATTTTTCCAAGAAAAAAACTGGGAAATTTGAGGGAGTACTGGGGAAAAAACTTTTCCTTCCTCTTTTGGAATTAGTGAAAGGCTCCTTAAGACAAGAGGGTTTTTTAATCTGAAAACGTACAGCATAAAAAAGGCTGAGAACTTTAAAAAAATTCCAACGGAAAAATTGGGAAATTTTGGGAAGCACTCATCCTTTGGGATGAGTGAAATGCTTTTTAAGACAATATTTTACTAAAAATGTGTAACAGAAAAATGTTTAATGCAAGATAGTCTACACTACATATACTGTAGAAATTTACAACCTTTTTTCAAGATTTTGTTTAAATGCAAACAATTTTGGGAACAATTAATATTCTATACTGTGTTTAACTATAATTATTATTAAAGAGTTCTGCACTTTTAGTATTATAAAGTTTAAACTGGTATCCAAATACTTACTTACTTACTTCATTTATATACTGCTTCTCTTCCCAATGGGGCCCAATATCTGCTCATTACTGTTGTTCTGTCCTCCATTTTATGCTCACAACAACCATGTGAGGTAGGTTAGGCTAAGCATTTGTGACTGGCTTCCACGGCAAAGCAGGCATTCAAACCTGGGATTCCCAGTTCCTAGTCAAACACTCTTAAGTACTACATTACACTGGCTCAAATATGTTAGTAGTCCTAAATAATGTGACAATATGAGAGTGTTTCCGTCCAGATAAAATACTTTCTTTGTTTAATGCAGAGTTTGTTACCTACTTTTGACTTTTATTTTGTCCAGCCTCTTGGATGGGAAAAAATTAAGATATGTATGCTAAGGCAGCATAGTGTGCAGTTGCTCTCAGCTCTCTCTCTCTAGTAGGTGCATTTGCAATATAAATATATTTATACTTTTAGAAAGAGATTTATACTTTTAGAAAAAGAGATTTATACTTTTAGAAAAAGAGAGTTATACTTTTAAACACTGCAAGTTTATTAGTTAACTAATCTATAAATGGTGCATTTATGTTGCTTAAGCAATAAAATAAGTTCAGGTTTGATAGGTAAGTAAGTACTGCATATATTCCAATTCCCCACTCTTCCACATGAAGCCAGCTGGGTGACCTTGGATCAGTCACATTTTCTCAGAGCTCTCTGAGCCCCACCTACCTCACAGGGTGTCTGTTGTGGGGAGAAGAAGAGAAGGTGATTGTAAGCCACTCTGAGACTCCTTTGGGTAGTGAAAAGCGGGATATAAAAACCACCTATTCTTCTTCTGTTTTCTTCCCAAGGAAAAAAAATAAGCTCTCCCCCACTGTGGTTGCAAAATTTCTAGAAATTTTACATCTCTAGGTATGGAGTAGCAAAGAGGCTCTTCCAAAAGCCAAAACACATTTAAAAGTTTTCCATCCCCACAACTTCTTGCTCAGTCCCAGGTTTTACATATTCTGAATGTTAAGGTTATTAGATTAAGATAATCAAAACCAGATTAAATGATATTACTTTTCACTATAGTTAGCTATACATCCTTTCCAAATTAAACAAAACTCCACAACACAAGAAAAAAACTTCATAAAACAGAACACATACAATCCCGCCCCCCAAGTCTGTAGCTACTTTTTTGCTCAAATAGTGTGGATACATAAATCTGCAGATAAGGGTTACGTAGAGAGAAAACAGATATTTCTGCAGACTTGGGAGACTCATGAGGTTTTCAAAAAAATCTGAAAGCTATTTTAAAAAAAGAGGGGGGGAGGGTAAATCATAGGTCCTCCATTTGTAATCATGTATTACTAACATTTCTCTTTGAATGATAAAATACCTCTAGGGCCTTCATATATACTCCGACATCAAGTTTCAAGCCATCAGTTTCTTTATAATAGCGCCTGAAAATGAAAAAGATCAAACAAAATTGTCTTAACTCTCCTTCCTTATTCTTTTCAAAGCTTGCAGTTTAAAGATAAGCAGAGTTACAATCTCCTAAGCAATGTGCTTACAAGGATGCAAGTGCTTAGGAAAGTGCCATTAGTTTGTTACCTCATGAGCTTTCACTCACACTAAATAAGAACATACTCATTTTGTTATTAAAAACAGTACAGCTGACAACAAAATGCAGAGACAGAAGCAGAATGCAAAACCAAAATACAATTAAGCAGATGGGATAAAATGTCACAAATAGGACATGCACCAATCTACCCGTAAGCCAAAGGTTCACCGTTGCAATATTTTTTGGCTTCCAAAAATGGTAATGATCAGACAGACACAGGGGCAAATGCTACAAGGAAATGCTAACTTTAACAGATGTGGAACATCCCTGACTGAACTGCTGATTGCTATTTAGGGACTGCATAGCACTGGCAAACTATTCTACTTACAAAGTTTCATATATTGTCTGTCCAGTTTTACACACATACCGTGAAAAATAGCTTGAAGACAATTCTGTACTACATCTCTTCAAAGTACGCACATGAAATAAGATCTTATTGCAGAAGGCAACCTGTTTGGCTACAAACTGAAAATGTATGGACAGATCTACATATTTTGCTACGTATAACTGACCTAATTTGTTTGCTATGTTGATGATGTGAGAAGTGCCAATTAACTGATTTTAGCAACTGTTTTTAGCCGACCAGTCATCTGCCTTTAACTGATTGTCCAATTAAATGTAGACAGCTCTTCATATTACCGAAACATCACTAAAAGTGCCTTCTGTAGATATCAAAGCACAACTCTTGCTAGAAGAAAAGGCCCGTCTTTAATACGGTCATTCCTTTTCGAACAACATACCAGCAGCAAAAGAGGTTCAACAATGAGCAAGTATGCTCTTACCCAGAGGCGAACAGGAAAAGCAAAACAGCCCTAGTAAAGGGCCACGCCACTCCACGGTCACAGTTCTCCCTGGCCATTTCCCCAAAGACAGAAGGGCTAGCCGGTGGACTGCTGCAGGGCCAGCTCAGCCAAGGAGAGGCTCATTCTGCATGGGGCTGGCACAGAAGAGATGGCCCTTATGGAGCGTGGGACAACCGTCAGGACAGTGGCCCACCAAGACTTTCACCAGTAGTGTGAATGGCCAGTCCACCCCTGCTCTTACCTCTCAACCCCACCAAGTAAAGGTGGTCCTCAATTAGGTGACTCACCAGCCAATTAGAGCCTGGAACTCTACCTAACATAGCTTTTTAAAAATTTTCTGCAGCAATAGATGTGTTTTTATTCTACAGCACTAGAAGACAGGTGTACCTACCAGGCTAAGGCCACAGTTCCACACTGGTATACATCTTTAAAAGAGGTTTCCTTCCCCCATAATATATGTTGCAGCTCTGATGGTGGAACACACCATGGAATCCAAGCAAATATTGCTAAGTGGTTTAAGGTTTGCCACAAAGCTGACACAATTCTAATCATGTTTCTTTGGAAGTTTTAATTTTAGGAGGGTCTACATCCAGACAACCATGCTTAGCAATACAGACTTATAAAGACCTTTTGTTCTAAGGATGTTCAGTGTCTTCTTCAAGTTCAGGATATTATGAAATACATTTCTCTCTCTCTTTTTAACAAACAGAACAGCTATCTCCTCCAAGTGTTTTCTTTGAAGTATGAATAAAAGTCCCCAGACAAAGATCCAGAGAACAAAAAAACAAGATGTGTAGGATAAGCAGTCAGATAAGATTTTATGCTTTATCCTTCTGCCATTTTCGATTATTCAGCACAGCCTCTCTTTAAAATGACCACTTGACCTTTGCTAGAACAGCCATTAACCTTCTATAGTCTAGCGTAAACAGCTTAATTTTCTGACAGTGGCATGACAGAAGAAATTACAAAGCCAATTCCCACTCTCGGCCCAAAACAGATGCTAAATGTAAATCACTCCTTTTTCAGGAGGAGAGCATTCTGCTCCAATAACTCCAGTGCTCCAGATTTCTAGAGAGCAAATTAAAACTTTTAGCAGAAATTAATGTGACTTCTCTCAAAGTGAACTGGAAGCAGTGAACACCGGTTACACATTACACATATCAATCCCCACATGCAGAACAGCAAAGTGCATCTCGCTGGTACTGCTACTGTTTTAATAGATGTTTGATCTGAATCAAGGCCCAAAAAAAATAATGTCATTGTTTGCAAGGCAGCCTTCTAAGAACTTACAAGCTCAACTAGTGTAGGCTTGTATATATCTTACAAGCTTGGTATATCTTTGCAAGATAGTTCACCTGGCACCACCCAGACCCCATTCCTTGTCCACGGTAGTTCCAACTTTGCAGAACAGGCTCTCTGAGAGGGTAAGGAGGAGCCATACTGAAAAATTTTCAGGAGACGTTGCAAGACCTTCTTATTTCCAGGACTTTGAACAGGTTACAGAGAGCAGGCATCTTTTGGAGCTAGGGTGGTTGTCTGGGGTTTTATTCTCTGTTTTAAATTGTGATGATTTCAATTTGATTTGTAACCCACCTTGAGCCACGAGGAAAGGCAGGATATAAATATTTTAATTAAAAACTAACAAACAAAACAAACACTGGTCTCGCTCAAGCTACCTTTAACCTGTTCCCATCTTAGATTAAAGCTAGGCTATGTAAATTCACGTGAGATCTCACTTACTTCCATTGAACTAACTTTATCAAAACTCAGACCTAGGCTTCCAGCTATTCAGAAATAAAGTTACTTGCAGTACCAGGAATAAAACAAAATGGATGCAATCCAATACGCAAGTGCATTTAAGGCTACAATCAGAAGCACATTGAGTGGACCTATTGAACTCAGCAAGGTTTGTGTGGTGGAAAAGCACCATCAAGTCACAGCTGACTTATGGCGACCCTGTAGGGTTCTCAAGGCAAGAGATGTTTAGAGGTGGTTTTGCCATCGCCTGCCTCTACATCACGACCCTGGTATTCCTTGGAGGTCTCCCATCCAAGTACTAACCAGGGCTGACCCTACTTAGCTTCTGAGATCTTATAAGCTCAGGCTAGCCTGGGCTATCCAGGTTGGGCCAGCAGGATTTACTTCCAAGTAAATGTGGTTGGGCTCCATATAAGAATGTGTCATATCCTATTGACTTGAATGTGTCTTTTCAACCATTCCTGAACACGTTTACTCACTGAGTCCAAAGGAGACAACTTTCTAAAGTATTCTGCCTTAATGTGTAAGTAAATTTAGCAGTCATGGGACAGGAGGACAGGTCCTTTTATGGATTAAAATTTGGCTAAATGAACAGAAGCAGAGAGTAGGACTAAACAGACAGTTGCCACAATGGACGGAGGTAAGCAGTGGGGTCCCACAAGGGTCAGTATTGGGGTCACTGCTATTTAATTTGTAAAGAATCTAGAACTGGGAGTGAGCAGTGCAATGGCCAAGTCTGCAGGTGACAAAAAATTATTCAGGATGGTGAAACCTGGGATCACTATGAAGAACTTCAGGAAAAAATCTGATGAGCAGGCAACAATGTGACAAATGAAGTTCAGTGTAGGGATGTGCAATGTGATGTGCAAATTGGAGGGGGGGGAATCTCAGCTTTAAGTACATGCTAATGGGGTCTGAACTTCCTGAGACTGACTGGGTGGATAGCTCAAGGAAAATGTCAACCCAGGGTGCAGCAGCAATGAAAAAGGCAACCTCTATGATGGGGACTCTTAGGAAAGGGATCGAAAATAAAACAGCCAACATTATAATGCCCTTGTATAGATCTATGGGGCAGTCTCATTTGGAATACTGTGTGCAGTTCTTGTCAAAAAAAGGACATTGCAGAACTGTAAAAAGTACAGAAGAGGGCAACCAAGATGATTAAGGGGCTGAAACACCTTTCCTATGAGGAAAAGCTGAAGAGTCTGGGACTTTTCAGTTAGGAAAAGAGACAAATAAGGGGAGACATGACAGAGGTTTATAAAATTATGCACAAGGTTTAGAAAATGGACAGAAAGACTTTTCCCTCCTTTCCTCGAAATACTCAAATTCAACAAGGATGTAGTGATGGCCATAGGCATAGACAGCTTTAAAAGGGGATTAGACAGATTCATGGAGGATTGGTCTATCAGTGGCTACTAGCCATGGTCACTAAAGGGAACCTCCACATTCAGAGGCAGTTTGCATCATTCTTCTCTCTTTCATTTTACCCTGACAACAAACATGTGAGGTAGGTTAGGTGAGAGTCAGATTGAGTCAGATTCGGGTGAGAGTTAGATTGCCCATGGTCATCTAGAAAGCTTTCATGGTGCCATAGGGATTGAAACGCAAAATCTCTGAGTTCCTAGCCTGAAACCCTAGCAATTACACCATACTGGCTCTCCATTATTTGATGCTAATTTGCACTTTATTTACCTTTATTTGGTGTTAGCTAGCTTGGTAAAACTTGGATTACTGAAATCAGGAAACTAGTTGCACCTAATAAAAAGTTCCATGGTTCTAGGAGACTTCTCCATGCTTCACACGTAGTGTGATCTTACAAGGGTGGCATTTCCCTACTTCCTCAAAGCACAATAAAGTGAAAATTATGGGAAAGTAATGTTTATAATAAAAATATGAACCAAAGTAAGGGTCTTTTGAGCTCCTATTCTAAGACAAGATGTGGTGTCCCTTTGTGTCATGACTTTCCCACAATTCATCAGGGCCTCATACTTTCCACCCCTACCTATGACAAACCTGCCATTTCTGCTCTTGTTTCTCCACCCTGCCTCAAATATTTTTGCAATTGTTACACATGTGATTTAAAAACAAAAACAAAGCCACCATTCCAGTTAAATGAGTTTTATAAAATGATCAAAAAAGACTTCTCAGCAAGTCTTACTGGAACATTGCTCTTATTTCAATAGGTGGCCAGTCTGGGGCCTGGGCTATGACAAATGAATAAGTTATTCTAAACCCTGATAGTCAGGATAGACAACATACTGCAGGCCACAAAGCTATTTCTGTAGTTCCTCACACAATACAACTACAGAGATTTTGCGCTTCCAAATAAAAGGGCTTTTTGCATGGTTTCTCCAATACCTAGATGTAGGAAAGACATGTCAGGGATACAGTGATAGGCAAATATATTGTCAGGACTGATGGATGCATTCTGGTATCACTCCCCAAAGCCTAATTTTTTTATACCCCCAAACACACTGGAACCCACTTCTCTGACAAACAGATTGGAGATTTTGAGCAGACACGAATACAAGAAAAGCTGCCAAAGTACAGTAAGTGGGGGAGGCAGAGAAGCAAATTCTACATGCCCCAGTAGAATGAATTCCTCTGGTGCCACAGAACCATATATTGACTAACTTACCCCTTTCCCAGAGATAACAGAACTGGATTCTCCAGGCCAATGAGAACTCGAAAGGCTTCATTAAGATTTTTGTAAGAGAAGTTGTCTGCTGCATCACCAGTCACCACACAGTTGGGGTTTGTTTTATCAATATCAGCAAATTCAGGGATGACATCTGAGAGGGACAACAAATTCCAATCCTTACTGTGTTCCAAATGTTTCCTCTTTATTGATAAGCAAATACAAATTTACTAATTATTACTGCTATACATTCTGACTGGCAATCAAACTCCATGGTATTTTGCGAGAGAATTCTGAAATAGAAATACAAAAGGGGGGAAATGCCACACTGCTCTATTGTAACAGTCCAATCCTACACAGAGTTACACCCTTCTAAACCCATTGATTTCAATGGACTAAGAAGGGTGTAATTCTGTTTACGACTGCACTGTTAGTCTCACATAAAAACGCACTGGAATGCCATGGAAAGGATTTTCTTTCTCCCACAAGTTCCAGGCAGCCATCGCAGGATCTCACAGCTCAATGACAGCTTGCCATCCATAGCATGCCACCTTCTGAACTCTGCTGATTACCTTCTGTGTAATGTACCAACTGATTTCTAAACATTTTCTTTTGACGTTATCTGCCTATGAAGATAGCAAACATTTGCTGCAATGGCAGTATAATACTAAGCTTTATTCCAGTGCAGCTCTTGAGGCATCGGTATGCAAAGTGCTTATTTGTTCACAGGGCAAGCCAGGCCCCAAGCATCTCAAAATGGAGAGCCCTGATCGTCAGAGAACCTGTCCCATCCAGATGTGAGATGCCACACAGACAGCAGGAGTTTAGAATATTCCTTAAACTAGAAAAGTTGCATTTGCCTTTTCAGTTCAGCTTTGAGATGAAGCTTAATAGCAAAACAAGAGAATATCTATCACATTTGTATATCACTTTGCAATCATAAAAGTTCTCACAGCTTTTCACAATAGTGCCAGCAGTGGCACTTTCTGATCTCAAGAAAGCTATCTACTCCTTCCCTAGATTTTCTCAGATTTTTTATTACAATATCATTTCAGTGTGAATCTTTATCTGTACTCATGCCTTCCATCCCCATTCCTATGAGGAACATATAGCTATAAAGTCCAGAAAACTAGTTTCTTCTCAGAAATCCAAGAGAAAATGTACTGTGCTTACTAGACTGAGGGATTGCCATTGAATAATATCCAATGTATGTCCTATTGACTTATCTACGTATCTATGTCTTAACCTACCTATCTATGTAGGCAGGGGTCATTTCATAGGAAAAGAGGTGCAGGAGCTCATTAGCATAACTCATTAGCATAGCTTATTTGCATATGCCACACCCCCTGACATCACCGGAAGTGTTTCAGAAGGCAACACCCACCGCTCAGACTCCACCTAGGTTGCAAAACAGTCCTTATGCTTCTGAAAGAGATTTTGAATTCTCATGTACAAGCAAATAACATAAATGAATTTAGGTTCACTCTTCTTGTGCAATGTTCTAAGCGCAAGGTACTAAACAGCTTTCCCTTGAATGCTAATGCCTTCCATGGAAGGAACAGCATCTTCAGATCAAGTTCGAAGAACTGAAGCTGATTCTGAATTATATTCAGTGGCATCAGAAGTATTTATGCTGAATGCAAGAGTGAGACGGCATCTTAATCTGATCTACCTGCTCACACTATGCTTGACTGCAAATGAGCACATGGTATTAAAGATTAACCAACCATCATGTACAAGAAGGTATGGCCTCAAGTTACGTTCCTTGAGAATGCGGCACGCTGCTGGTGCTGGAGCAGTGACTTCATTTACCACAATGTCAAAGCCCAGTCGCTGCAACTTCTTCACAAACTTCTCACGTGTCGCTTGAGTTTCATTGGTACAAAACTGCAGCTTCAGACCAGATGCCTTGATCCTGTTAAGGTACAACAGTAATAAATCAGCTTCAGAGTTCAGGATTTAAATGAATGATTTTGTAAAAAAACCCAACCCCGTAAATATATGTAAAAGAAGAAAGGGGCATTCAATGTCTACCCTGAATTTGCAAAATAGTCAAGGGTTCTGCCACAAGCACATTAGAAACTTACAAACCAAAACCCTATTTAAGTGAAAGCATTTCTTTTCTAAAAAGATCTGAACTAGTGCAACACCAAGCTATGGACAGATAATCAAAATCCCAATCCCGTTAGTAAATGTAAAACCACATACATTTCCTTTTTTTCCCATTTATCAGGAAATATACTCAAAAGAAATATTTCTGGGTCTAATGGAATTTGTATCTTTGTTATTTGCACTAACATCTTTTGAACCTCCTTCCAATACTGTTTCACTTCATTACATGACCACCAAACATGATAATAAGATCCCACCTGTGCCTTACATTTCCAGCATTTACCATCTAATCCCGGATATATTTGTGCTAGTCTTTCTGGCTCCAAATGCCACCGATGTATCAATTTAAAAACATTTTCCTTTAACGTCACAGCTTTTAGCCATCTTGTATTTTTCCAATTTTCCCCCCACTTATTTGGGTCAATATAACACCCCAATTTTTTTCCTACTTATTCGGGTCAATATAACACCCATGGCCCCTTGGTTACTTTAAAAACCTCATCCTGCATCTTATGACTCAGCAGAAAAGAATAAATTTTACCAAGAATAGTGCTTGCAAAATATTGGAAAAATGAACAGGTACCAAACAGATGGGATTTTATTACTAAAATAATTGAAGTGGTTGAAATTGACAATTTAACGCAAAAGATGCATGGAAATATGAATTCAACATTTCAGGAAGTTTGGTCACAAGTATATAAATGGTTGGAATACAAGGTTAATTTATAATTTGGGAAATCCAAACGACACAAGGAAAGGAGTAGGATCTGTTTTTATGTTATTTGTTAGATGTATTTAGGTGTTGGTTGTAGGTTATTGTTATTGGTGTTATTGTTTGTTGTATATGGAGTTGTATGATAGTAATAGTAATAATAAAAGAAATATATATATGGACAGATAATCAAAATCCCAATCCCAAAACCAAGCACCATTTGATATAATTCATTCTTTCTTTTGTTTCGGTTTTATCTCTTTCATTCTCAGATTCAAGAGTTTTTCCATTTGAAAGAAAAACATTTCTCTGTGGTCTTAAGAACTTTCTGGGCATTGAAAAAGATTCTTACTTTGTGTAGGATAATGACATATTGCAAATAAAGGAGCAGGGACTATCAAGGAGACATAAATTTCTGGCTCAGTTTGTAGGAACAGATGTACCATTGTATTTTAAAGTTCTAATAGTACCTTGATCAAAGGGAGGTCCCACTCCCAACAAGAATTTGTTGATCCAACCCAAGTATTCCTGAGTTTGCAAATGCCTCAAATGGACAACTTCATACCAAATTTCCCCCCATAAAGAGTTAATATCTAGGTTGAGGAGGGGCCATTGCTTAGTGGTTGAACACCTATTTGCCATATAGAAGGTCTCAGATTCAAGCCCAGCACCTCATTTAAAGTATACTAGGGGTTGTGAAAGACTTCACCCTGAGATCTCAGAGAGTAGATAACACCAATGTTCATAGAAAATGGTCTGATTCAGTATAAAGCAGTTTCCTGGGTGTTCAAAACCCCCAGTTTGAAGGAGACAGTATCATCAAAGAGATTCAAGCCAAGTATTTCCATAGGAAGCAATTATGAAACCTGTGATTTCTTTGGAAAGAACCAGCTTATGGCCATTTTAAAAACGTCCAAAGATGTTGTCACCTATAACCCAGGAGAATTGTTATTTTTGTATTATTTGTCTTTCCTAATCATAGGTATGCGAATTATCAATTACACTTAGTGGTTAATTGCCCTTCATAAAAATAGCTTTTCTATTTTAAATTAGGCAGTTAATATATTGTAACTAATAGCATCTACTCATACATTATAAATATATCTTCATTGATTGGAGCAGCAAATGTGAGAATCACTCATGAGCTAATGAAGCAATTGAGTAAAGAAGTGCAGTGTGTATCCAGGGAATAATTATTGTTAATGAATTATGATGTGACCTTCCCAGAACAATGAACAATAGGTGTGACAGTCAGATGACAGTACTTGACATCTGTTATTCCAATCATGGTTGAAGCTACAAAAGTAAAACAGTAATATATTTTGCATTCAGCAAAAGCTTTAAAAAGAACGATCTGACTCAAACAATTTTATTAAAGCACAAATTATGTTCCAACTTATGTGATAGGACAGATACAGGATATGACTGACCAGAATGGGTATTCGATCCCTTCTTTTAGATACTGCTTTTTATTTTAAAAGATCAATGCACAGAAATCTGGAGCACATATGAAGGTACCCTGAACTGCAGTGTTTAATTCACATCAAAAGTGTAAGGGCAATTCCAGATGGAAGGCTTGTGAAGTGTCAGGCATGTGGAATCAACATGGCTAACATTTGCAATCTGTATGGGGACTTTACCAATCCCTATACCAATTGCTTCTGAACTAGCAGAAATAGTGAGATGGACACAGCAATTGTAGCACAGAATAACAATGGGAAGACCAAACCAGCACTCTCATGAATACTGCTTCTTTGAGGTACTTCCTGTTTGTGTGCTACCAGCAGTTGCCAACTGGAAGGACCCCAATAGTTCTTGCTATCCGAGTCCTAAGAAACAAGACAAGGAAGGCACCATATGAATCTTCTAAATAGGTAAAGGTAAAGGTTCCCTTGCTGGAAAGCCAGTCGAATCCGACTCTAGGGTTGCGGTGCTCATCTCCGTTTCCAAGCCGAAGAGCCAGCGCTGTCCGAAGACGTTTCCGTGGTCATGTGGCCGGCATGACTAACCACCAAGGCGCACGGAACGCTGTTACCTTCCCACCGAAGTGGTACCTATTTATCTACTTGCAATTTCTTGCTTTCGAACTGCTAGGTTGGCAGGAGCTGAAACTAGAGATGGGCGCTCACTCCATCATGCGGCACCCGGGTCTCGAACTGGTGAACTACTGACCTTCCACAGCCTGCAGTTCAGCGTCTTAACCACTTGAGCCACCGCAGTTCCCTCTTCTAAATAAGCAAGTCCTAAATAAGTCACTGCATCTCTCAGTTAATGTAAAGTCAGCCACTGAACTTCATAGAAGAGTGAGGACTTGAACCTAGTCCTAATCTAACACTCTAAACACTATGACACAGTAGTGTTACCACAACGCAATCGTCTACTTCTAGTCATTTACTTCAGAATTCCAACAGCACAGTGCTTCTATCATCTCACAAATAAGAAAGGAGCCATGGACAATTTTTCATGACAGCAGATTCCAAGGATACCAAGCCAGAATGCAACCTAACTTTAAAAAATGCAAATTACATGCACAAAAGTTAGTATTTGTTTTATATGGACAACAGTCTATAAAGCAGTGAGTTTTACAGTCCTGGTTCAACTCCTAACACTAACCTTTCATCACAGTCCTGCTAAATATCTGCATTAGGAAGCAAAATCTTAACATCTAAAAGGTGAGGAACCAAGAATTGCATCTGTCTGGTGCTAGGAATCTTATCTGCAGGTGATTGTTACCTCATTATGGTCACTCAATGGCAATGTGATTCTTAACCAACTCAAAAGCACACTCTTCTTTACAAATTCACCACAAGTTCCTTAATACTATACAGAGGTCACAGGACTAAATCCAGGAAAGTTCTGGCTCAAATGAGATTCTTTTTGGTGGGCAGAACCTTTAGATCTCCTATTAGATATGGTGGAGAAGTCATTCTGGAAACCAGGCCCAGGTCTCAAAAAACAGGGACTGGACTAATAAATGTGCAACTCACCTTTAGTCTGAAGCACAGAATGCTTTCTGTCTCAAGTTGTTGGGGGACTATGCCTCAGTTTTAGCTATATGGTTTGGCAGTTTGTCTCTTGCTGCTTGAAATGGCAAAATGGATCAGTTACCCATGAACAGATGCTACTACTTTTTATTTCAAGAAACAGGCAGCAGCACCTACCCATGAGTAAACCTACCAAATTTATCACAAGTATATGAAAAATTGCACAGGGCTGTCTATACTAGCACAAGGAGACACAAACAGAAAATAAATAAAAGGGGGAAAATCCACCAAAGAATCTGATGTCAATGCAGTCTCAGATATCCAGATTTTCAGGTCTCACCTCAACTGATGAAACTGAATTTTGTCTCCATTGCAGCTTTCCCCCAAAAAGGACAACAAAACTAGTTCAGGAAGTAAGGACAGCTTTGACACAATCCCTTGATTTCTCTCCCCCTACTAGTGTCATAACCTTTATGTCATATAAAAACAGGGAGGGGGGAAAGAGGGTTTGTATTTTACATACCCATAGGTTGACCCCAAACCATTGGCAAGGACAGTTGGCTAAGACTGCACAAGGTCACTCAGGATGTCCAATAATTGTCCTAACACTTTACCTGTTATGGCACAATAATGAGAGTTTTTTTCATTATTTTCGGGTGAATGAACCTGGCAGATGCTGACAGCCAGCAGATGTGTAAAGTTCGAGGTGATTTGTAAGGGACCAGCTCATCTGACGCACAGTAATTGCATTGTGGGACATTGTCACTCAGAGTCTTGTCCTGTTCTGTCAGAATGAGGTAAAGGTCAGTTCAAAGAACTGGCATAGCATAAGGGACAGTTCTTCACTGAAATTTTAAAAAAAATATTTTCATACAACTTCTACCCGCAAGCTGAAGCAAGACAGAAATGTGTCCACCACTGTAAGGTGGCTTGGATAACTGGGGAATTCATGATTTTCTGTGTCTTTAAATAAAAGAACAAATAGCTTTAAAATCTTACTTGTAGAGATTATTCCTTTATCAATTCAGCTTTTCTAACATAGAAATCCCCTTTTATTTCTTTGTTGTTTCATTTGTAAGACATGGTTCATTTTTAAAAAGCTCAGAA